CTTCGAGATGCCCAGGATATGGAGACTCCTGATGTGGCAGCGACTTATGAAGAAAACGATATTTTTCAGGAGTGTCTCGTGGGAATCGAAGAGGTTCCCGATCCTGATTCTTCATTTATTCTCGAGGAAGCTGAGAAGCTCCTGAAACAAGTAAGTTTTTCCTTTCATCATTTCGAGTTTAATCTTCATCTTTCTGATTCTGCCCTCCTTTCCTTGTAAAAAGGTCGCGTCGCTTCACCGATGAGCATTCGCCAAATATTGGATTGAGCTTGCCCGATGTGAAGCCGAGCTTAATAAAGTCTCGGAAGAGAGAGACATCCTTAAAATCCTCTATGCCAAGAAAGAGGGGGAGATCAGTGATCTACGAGTGGAATTGATGAAAGCTTGCCAAGAAGAGGCAAAGTTTATTGATGAGGCAATGTAGTCTTTGAGGGTTTGTTAGGTACTTGTTTGTTTTGACGACTAATACTTTAAATTTTGCAATTCCATAATAAGAGCGAATTGGTGTTGCAGCTTCAGGAGGAGCTTAAAATGAAGGAGGCCAAGACCTTGGGGTAGAGGCAAGGTATGGACAATCTTGCCTCTGAGAAGGAAACTCTTCGAGAGTAGCTGGCTTTACTTGAATGCCAGCTTTAAAGTGCAAAGGAGGAGAGCCTGGCTCGAGGTCACGAAATCGAGGGGCTTAAATCTAGATCCGCTGCTCAGCTGGCCAAGGCCAAATTTGACGCTGAGGCCATTGCGTCCTCGTACCGAGCTGATACTGAAGCAGCTAATGCTCGGGCAAAAGAAATCTTTGCTGCGACAGAAGTCAAGCTATCAAGTGCACTTGACCATTCTAGGCGAAAATCCCGGAGGGCAACTCTCGAGGAGGTACATGCTCGGGGCTTCGATCTCTCAGCCGATATTGAAAGGGCGAAGATTTTGGAAGAAGAGGCTACCGCTCTGTTTTTGGATGAGGATGATTCAGCCAGTGTCTCCGAGAGTAGAGGAGACGAAGATGAAATCCCCGAGAGTGAGGCCCAAAAGATGTGGCTCCCACAGCTGCCGAAGATATGACCCCGAAATAGTTTTAATTTTCCTTATTTTGCTTTTGTGCAAGTATCCCTTGTGTAAAGTACCTTTGTAATCATCTTTGGAAATACAAGTGGCACTTTTTCTCTTATCTTTGACTTGCGTTGGATTTCATATTGTCTTTATTTATGGAATATTTCGTTTCTGTAACTTGAATGATTGGTCCGAGAATCGGTTAGGGCTCGTTTGATGTAATAAACCCTTAGATTTTTATCGATAGATATAATAATCTTTGGGCTAAGTTTAAATCGATCCGATGAAGCTCGAGCTATTGTGAACCTTGAGTCCTGATTGAAATGAGAACGGAATCTCAAACTATAGGTTTTTAGCCATTAAACCTTTCGAGGTTGGCCCTTGGGCTCTTATATATCGGCCCTTAGCTTTTTTAATTGGCCCTTGGGCTCTTTTAAAATTGGCCCTTAGGCTCTTTAAGTTGGGCTGTTTAGGCCTCTAAAATGGCTATATAATTTTTCCCTCATTTTGGTGAAAAGACTTAGTGAAAATTTAGTTATGCTATAGCATGTGTTTTTTGTACCCGTTGAGTTTTTCCAAAGGTTTGACGTATCGGAACTTTATTAGTAATTTGTTTGTGCAAACATAATTGAATACCTCTTGAGGTATTTCCGAAGGCCGATGTTATCGAAGTCTTTGGATTATTTAAGGGCTGGATTTATCAAGGCCCTCATATTTTTCGGGGGGCTGAATTTATCGAAGCCCTTTATATTTTGCTTTTGCCGAGGTTAGCCTAATTTAACAAGTTTTTCAATATTTGAAGGCCTTTGATTTATAGCGGAAGTCGGACGTCTCCGATTCGCATTATTCTAACCGTAGCCTCTATATGACCGTAGTCTTTAATGTGGTCGTAGCCTTCAGGTATGTCACTTGGACTTATTTTCCGATAACTTTCCGATTTTGTTCAGAAGGTTAATCCCCGAGTATATTAGCTTTGGCCTTTGTTTCGAGGGGATGCCTCTATGAGGTCTTAAAAGTTTGAGTTCTCGATGGCTCGGATGTAGGATTGTCGGTGACAGCCCTCGAGTATTCAGAGTTGCTTTTATGCTTTGGCTCTTGAGTCGTTTCCTGTAGGATTATAGGTGTAGAGCTCGTGTAATAGTAGACTTCTTTGAGACACAAAGTGTTTTTGATATTAAGAGAATGTTTCTTCAAGTAATTGATACATGGGTACATGCTTTGCCATTGGGGCGTCAAGGGACTCACCTGTGCCAACTCCGAAGGCATACTTCTCTAGGCTAAGCTTCATGTTGTATTTCCTCAATATCGCAAATGTTTCGCTACAACAAAATGGGCTTTAGCGGCAATAAAAAAGACCATTGGCGGCAATAACAATTGTCGCTATAACATTTATCGGCCATTGATGTTTAGCCGCTGATATTGGAGTCGGCAAAGCCTTTAGCGGCGTTTCTCACAAAAGCTGGTAAAGATGTGACTTATTGTCGCTAAATATGATTTGCTTTAACGGCAATTGTTTGCGGCAATTATGATGGCTGCTAAATCCAATTTAAAAACGGCTGCTAATGCTCTTTTTATGTCCATTTTTATAGCCGCTAAATTCAAAATACTTGTCACTATAGGTCTATAGCTTTAGCAATAATTATTTTGTGGCAATTAGAATAGCTATAATATTTCTTCTGAAAACGAATTAGTATGCCCTTTTAGCATCCATTTTAATGACTAGTAAATTCAATTAAATTACCGCTAAAAGTTATTTTTAACATCAATTATAATGGCTATAATATCCCCTGTGGAAACATCATAATTTGCCCTTTTAGCATCTATTTTTGCAGCCAGTATATTCTGTTAAATTGTCACTAAGTCACAAGCTATAACGACAATAGCTTAGCCACCATTAATAATAGCTACTAATTCATTCAAAAAATGATCCAAAAAATAAAACATAATAATATTGATTCATAAAAACATAATGTATCTCATTAAATTTTAACAAACAAAAGGAAGTACTAATCCAAAATAGTAATATTACAGTAACTTAAAAAATAAACTTATATTATTTGAAGCAAATAGCTATTGTCATTATATAACTAATCCTAACAAATAATAGTTTTCAAATAATTCCTACAATGCTTCATCATTTAGAAATCTTCCACCTGCTAAATTATCGATCAACAGACTGTATGACCTGAAATTACAAAATAACTATGTCAATAGATGAAATATAATAGTCTTCAACTGGGATGTTTATCGAGCAAACATTGCCCCAAGCTAAAGTTGTTTTACTGTAGAATGACAGTTCTATTTTTTCTATAGAATAAGACATAAAAAATCCGACCGAAACAAATCAAACTGCAATAGTGTAGATAAAAAGTAAATCAGAGAAATTTGCAAGATATCAAGCAAATCAGAAAAAGATTTAAGCTTTCAAAAGTGTGCACATCTCCAAGGCAATAAGGGTGAAAACCACTCCAACTAGTTTTTCATGTATTATCCAGAAAGTTACGTCACAATAAAATGACTATGATTTTTGTGATAATTAGTCTTGTCCTAAATCAATTACTTATACCTGCACTACTAACAAGCATTACAAGGAAACTCTTGCTTTATCATGGACAAGGGAAGTACATATTATATTGCTCTAATACTATGTTTAAACAACAGGGAAACTGATTTTCATTCCTAGATTCTACTTCGTTTTGCTTTGGTATTTGATCAGTTCATAGGATGAACAGCAAATTATGGTCATATGGCAACCCAGACAGGACCACTATCACTACTTTCAGCCCATTCTAAACAACAAAAATTAATTTTGATAATCCACATGTTGTAACTAAAGGATCAAATGTTTGTAAGCTATTCCCATAATAGCTAGTTCTAATGCTTCTACAGGCCCTGTTGAAGCTATTGTAGTTAGGGGTTCTCAGGTTTTGAAGAATGCAACAGTACCTGTGGTTGATCGAAATTTAACTAGGACTTTTGTTGCTTAGCATAGGCAGTTGATCATGGACAAGGGAAGTGCATATTATATTGCACTAAGGGGAGTACCCTAACTCTTGCTACTGTAGTTAGGGGTTCTTAGCTAGACAGTTGATCACTAAGGAACATGAACAATCTTAGATACAACTATCAACATATGGGAAAGATAAAAGATGGTACTATCAACATATGCAGTTGGACAGCAGGTACTTGATGTTCCGACTCCTAATGGGAATCGAGCTCAATCATCTACTTAACAAGCTGCTGATTTGAAGGATCCTAAGGCAACAAATGGTACATTTAGTGCATGTACATCATCAACCAGCTGTTGTACCTGCTGAATTGTTTGAAAAAATAGCAGGGTCTAAAACTACAGTTTTGAATAGGGTTTCTCAGGTTTGCAATGGAGAAAAGCAGGTCTCTAAAGACCCCACTGTTGATCATATTCCAGATCAAGGATGTACTCAAGTTTGTCTAGGTAATGAAGTTGTGCAACAACTTAAATATTGATAGGGGAAGATTAACATTGTGACTGATGCAACTGTTGCACGTGTTGAACTAGTTGAAAAACTAGCAGGCTTTAAATCTATTTTTGTGCATGATGAGAGGCAAGAACTTGAATGTGTTGATGTTTTGGATAGTGTAGCTACTACATGTGATAAGACAATGCTTGAACAAGCTGAGAACTGTCCAAATAGTCCATCTAATCAGGCTAATGCTGAGCTTAATCTAAGGTGTGATGTCTCTAGTGAAGTGCAAAATACACTATTTTTTAATAAAGCAGGTACACAAGAAAGTCATACCAAAAATTTGAGGAAGCGTGTTAAAATGTCAGAGTTAGTGTTTTATGTGTTGAATTAGTACTTCATTGGTTAATATAATACGTGGACCTATAAATAGGTATGTGTTGTATTCCATTATAACTTTCCATTTAATTAGCTTTTCTTCTTTTATTATGAAGCTTCTGGTTACGTTTATCATAATTCTCTTTAGGAAGCAAAAGCATGTTATCTTACCTGCAAACACTGAATTAGAGTTGCATTAATTCTTGCAAGCATTTGGCGCCCAAACTCCTTGTCATCCTTCCATGCAAGTTCATTCCATGTGCATGAATAATCCAGACATGAAACAAAACTTGTCTTAGAGGCATTGGAAACTTCGCTGTGTAATCTTTGATTCCACGTTCAGTCTCCTTGAAAATCTCTTTTGGTAGATGAGTTTCCAGTTTCCTTATCATCCATTCTTGCACCACTTAGATTTTCTTTGCCGAAAATAGCTCTTTGATCTCATTGAATGACTTGAACTGGTTGGTTTCTTCTCTTAGCACCGATTCTCCCTGAGAAACGACATAGTGCAAGGTGGCCTGGATAACTTTCGTCGTAAACTCTAACAGTTTTGCGGGGCTAAATCTTTCATCTGGAGGGATACAATTGTCTATCTTGAACATACCCTTCTCATTTTCTGTTCGAAGAGTAACAGTTCAGGAAGAAGAATATTATTGTTTGTGCTATTTCTGTGATTAGAAAGTTACACTAGAAGGGAGAGAGATTTCTAGACTGAATGAATATGTGGTTCACCAGTTTTGCCTCTCCTTGGATATGGATAAGAAACTGAACCTCCTAAAATAAGCCTTTCCCCTTGCTAAGGATCACCGAGATCATTATAGAAATCATAGTCATAAACTCGTTGCCATTCTCTAATTCTCCCTGCAGTTCCATCTCCTCTCAAGGTATCAAGTTCTTGTTTCCTTAGTTGTAGCAGACTATTTGGTGTTTGGCTTGGAAGATAACACCAAGCATCATAAGATGATCAAAGGCACTGCAAATATTTTTGTTGAAAGATACTAATACATGTTAGAAGAAATGTTTTACACTCACAGTGTTTGAGAAAAAAATCCTTATTTTTTGAGTTAAATGATTGGGATAAATCCAATAATTGCATTCAAAATGAACCATTTGTCTGAATGTAACTTGGGGAGACATAGATTGAGAAAAAAACTTGTCTTTGTGCTGGTTCTGGATGACAAAAGCTCCTGGAAATCCAAAATCTCGGTCAACCTCGAATGTCAATTCATACTGAAAACCTCTCTTACAATTAGGCTTCTTGTGGATATGTTCCCATGATTCGGGTGCACTTCTTGACTCAGCTTCCCTTTCTCCGTACCTATCCAAATGGAAGAAGGAAAAGAAGCAAATCTATTGTAAATTATGAAAGAAAAACTAGTAATCATAATGTCTATATATCAAGTTGGCTCACTTGGATCAATTTTAGAGAGACTGTATAGTTGAATACGGATAGCTTTTCCAAGGCCTGATTTTGCAGGGCAATGTTGAATGATAATTTCTCCTTTAATGGTCTATGTATGTTTCTTTCTTTAAGCTAGTTGAACATATGATTGTAAGGATGGATGGCAATCGCTTGGTATGGTTGCACTGATGGAGAGAGAAGAAGAGATCTGCAACACAGAATCAACAGAACTAATGAACGTGCAAGGGTTTGAGGAAGTGGCTAGATCAATATGTCCTGAAAGAGAAACTACTCCATTTTCTTCTCCTATTTCTATTACAAACAAACTGCAAGATGTAGTAGTACATGAGGAACCCACACCACTGATGTTAATTCAATGAGTTAACTTGGCCAAATATTGTTATGATAGATTTTGCTGCAAACATAGGAACAGAACAGCAAGAGGAAAATAGGAAGCATCTTCGGACATCAAAATTTACTAACTAGTCCCAACTTAAGTAATTGCAATTGATATATAGTTATAGTTAATGTCAGATTGTCAAGTGTACAGAAATTAAACTCGGACAACAAAATGATGCGTGTGTATATCATCAAGGGGATGCACAATTGTTATAGTAATAGAACTCGACTTTCCATTATCTCATTGCCTATTAGCCCTTAATTTTACATTTTCTACAGCTGTTGCTTTTTATTCTTCTTCTTTCTGTGTTACCTTAAGGGCCAAGCACTACAATATGGCCAAACGATAATTAGCTTTAGTTGAAATGGTGGTGTTCCTTTTGATTTTGTATCAATAGTATGTACTGTGAACGCCACCAATTATAAGGGAGAAGAAGAAGCTGACACACTAATATCTTTGCCAGGTCAACCGAAGGTAGAAAAGCTTGCAGTTAGCTTTTCTGATATAAAGAGACGTAAGTGCTCAAAATATCTTGGATTTATATAAAAAGGAGATTGAAGCATCTATATGATGCAATCATATCACGCACAAATTCACTACCTAGCTAAAACATCAATATGCGTCAACTGACACTTAGAAAATTTTTGAAAAATCACAAAAATAACAGTAGCCTTAAAAATATAGGAACCAATTAAAAAACAAGAGAGTAACAGATGAGGAATCAATTCAATCAATCGACTATTAATCTAACAACAACCAGATATCACAAACGACTTAGTAAACACAGAAAAAGCTATACTTTCACTAATCCCAAAAGGTTGTAGTTGGATATCAAAAATCAAAAATCAAAATTGGAACCTGGTAAGCAAAATATTTTGTGTATTAAGAGCATAAATTGAAGGAGACGAAGGCTTTCTGCAATAATTCTTGAAACCTACACGTAACAGAAATTGAAGACGAATGAGGGGGAGAAGATTGATAGAGAAGACTGATAATAATCGAGCAACATCAATCCAAAATTATATATAACTCGATCGAGAACAACCTGGGATGGTCGGAGACCGTGGCAGGGCGGAGGCTTTTGCAGCGATGCTGTTAACGCGCAGGTTTTCTGTCGTTATTCTGTATCATTCTAATTATAGGCTTCATTCTTCTGTATCATTCTAATTATATGCGTCGTTCTTCTGTATCATTCTAATTACAGGGTTTGGTTTTTTCTATTGTTCTTTTAATTGTAGGGTTTTCTAATTGGAGGGAATGTAATTTGTTATCCCTAAAAATTGGAGGGAAATATTGTACGGAGGGAAAGTTAAAATAATAAAAAATATAATTCAATTAGGGATTTTTAGTGGCAATTATTTTTTATTGTCATTAAAAATATATCTTTTACTGGTTAATGGTCATGTGCCGCTAATATTTTAGCTTAAATAATTCATTAGTGGAAATTACCTAATTGTCGCTAAATAATTGCCGCCAAAGACCTTTTTTGTAGTAGTGAATTCCTGTAAATGAACTAAATTGTCCTCTGCGCACAGGGACTTAATCAACATATCATCAATACAAACTTCTATTATTTTGCCTATTCATTTTTCGAACATTTTGTTAACTAGGCGTTGGTATGTAGCTCCTATATTTTTCCAACCCGGAGTACATTTTGTTGTAACAATAGGCTCCAAATGTAATAAGTGCTCGGAGTAGGAATCGAGAAAAGGTAGGGTCTCGAGGCCGACTGCGGCATCGATCATGTGATCGACGCTTGACAAGGGGAAAGAATATTTTGGACATGTTCTGTTTAAGTCCTTATAATCTACGCATATTCTAAGTTTGTTTCCCCTTTTAAGAACCAGGTTTGCTAACCCCTTGGGGTGTTTTACCTACCAAATAGATCTTATTTTAAGAAGTTTGGTTACCTATTGTGATGGCTATTTAGCCACCTGCTTACTTTTGCTGCTCGATTTCTCCGAGGTTATGGGCTCAGGCACCGGTACCACTTCCTCGATAGCAAATATTTTTTTCGCTGCATGTTGTTCTCCGTAGACTGTTTTCACTCCTTACTCCGCCGAGAACTTCATCATTTGGTGAAGAGTTGAAGGCACTGCCCTCATGTTGTGTATCCACGGTCTTCCGAGGAGTGCATTATACCTCATGTCACCTTCGATCACATAGAACTTCGTATCTTGTATGGTCCCGGCTACATTTACTGGCAAGATGATCTCTCCCTTTGTTGTTTTGCTTGCAATATTGAAGCCATTCAGGACCCCGGACGCAGGTACTATCTGATCTCGCAGGCCGAGTTGTTCCATGACCCTCGATCTGATTATGTTTGCTGAGCTACCTGGATCCACTAAACCACGCTTAATTTGAAATTTATTTAAAAGGACAGAGATTACTAGGGTGTCGTTATGAGGCTAAGATATGCCTTCTGCTTCCCTGTCATAAAATGATAAGACGTCCTCGGGCACATAGCTCCGAGTCTGTTTTTCTCTTATAATTGACACCTTGGTGCGTTTGAATACAAGTTGCTGGGGGACATCGACTCTGCCAATGATCATGTAGATTACGTGATGTGATTCTTCTTGCTCAATTTTTCTTGCATCTCTTTCTCGGAGGTGATTCTTAGCCCGATCACTTAGGAATTCTCGAAGGTGGCCCTTGTTGAACAAACGAGCCACTTCTTCCCTCAGTTGCCTGCGATCTTCTGTTCGATGACCATGTGTGCCATGGTATATGCACATCAAATTCAGGTTCCTTTGAGAAGGATCGGTCTGTATTGGCTTGGCCACTTGGTGTCTTTGATTCTCCGAATAGCTAAGACAATCCCCAACGCATCTATGCTGAAATTGTATTCTAATAATCGAGGAGCCTCTGTGGGGTCGGTATGTTTATTGAACCCGCTCTTACTCATGAGTCCCTGAGAAATTTGACCTCGATCATTTCTTCGATCGTTCCGAGAGGGGTCACGGCTAGGGACGTTGTTTCTTCGTTTGGCATATGGCTGGTACCGTTCTTTGTAGAATCTCAATTCCTGGTCTCTGTACCTCGGGGGCTTGGCTGTGAATTTGCTAGGATGAACTAAACCTGAGGGAGCTCCCAGCTGGTCGTCCTCGACCCTGATCTTGTACTGAAGACGATTGTGCACATCCGACCATGTCACAGCTAGATATTCGATCAAGTTCCATTTCAATTGTCGAGAGGCAATCGAGCTCCTTTTGTTTAGACCCTTCATAAAGGCATGTACTTCCCAGTCATCAGATACCGATGGTAGTTCCATTCTTTCCATCTGAAATTGGGACACGAACTCCCTTAGCATCTCGTCATTCCTTTGCTTTATTTTGAAGACGTCCGATTTTCTCGTGGCCACCTTTATGGCCCCGGTGTGCGCTTTCACAAAGACATCTACTAGCATAGCAAATGAGTCAATAGAGTTAGGAGCTAATTTATGATACCAAATCATGGCTCCCTTTGATAGTGTTTCCCCGAATTTCTTTAACAACACCGACTCGATTTCCTCGTCATTCAAGTTATTTCCATTAATCCCACAAGTGTATGAAGTTATGTGCTTGTTAGGGTCGATTTCCCCATTATATTTTGGTATATCGGGCATGCAAAACTTCTTGGGAAAGGGCATTGGAGACGTGCTTGGGGGGGGGAATAGTTTTTGTATGAACTTTTTGGCGTCTAAACCTTTCAAAACTGGAGATGCCCCTGGTATCTGGTCTACCCGGGAGTTATACGTTTCCACCTTCTTATTATTTTCTTCAATTTTTTTTTCTCCGGACTTGATCCTTCTGGCTAGTTCCTCGAGCATTTTCATAATCGTGGGGTCAGTCCCCGAGCCGCTTTCATCGGGACTTTCAGGCGCTGGTTCAGCACGCCGAGTGTTCGCTGGTTCGGCTGTGTTTGGAGCTCTATTTTGACTCTGAAGTTGAGTGATGGCGACTTGCTGGGCTTGCAGCATCTTGAATATCACTTGGAGTCTGACTCTTCCTTCTTCCATGCCTTGTGTTTTTTGGCCTCCGGCTTGGGCTTCCCTGCGTACATCTCCTTCGGGGTCCATGCCTAGATCTGAATTCAAAGCAATGTGTGAACTAACATCAACAGGTTTCGCATTTGGCACTTTCCCTGAGTTTATCGATGGTACACCGACTCCTATGTAGATGTTTTCTCCAAGACCTTCGTTGTCATGAATAGGTGCGTTCTGTGTGCTAGACATGTTTAAGCCTGAGAATCAAAAAATCTTGACAAGAAAAAGTGAAAAGATAACGTGTGTAACGAAAATCAGTAAAGAAATAATCACTATTATCTTTAGCCTCACGGTGGGTGCCAAACTGTTTACCTCGAAAATCCGAGTAACAGTTAAACTTGATTAATGGTTTTAAAGATATGCGATTTAGGTCAATACCAATTAATAATCAAGAAATGTGAAGTAGAAATGAAAGATAGAAGTGAATCAAACCAATAATACTTGACAGTGGTGACCTCGAGGCGGTGACCTCCAGGTAGCTTAGGGTAGTAAGAACAGTTAAGTAATCAAAATAAAGTAAGAACAATGGAGCTAAAAGATAATGCTAATGAACAGTAAAAAAGTAGAGAGTATATTCTTTGCTCAGTGATGATCATAATGCTCTTACAAATGATTGGGATTCCCTTTATATAATAGGGGAGCCCAAAATAAGGAATATTTCCATTTACAGTAAGGAATATTCTTGGTACAACTGTCTAACCGCCTAGTACGGAATAGTACAATCATATTCCGGGATTTGCGCCATGACTTTGGGGACGTGGCAGGAATCTAACTTGTCCTAGTACAAATCCCCAATGGTACTATTTCGGGGTCGAACACACTTGACCTCGGTAAGCATCGTGCTTCGCCTTCAAACTCGGGCCTGGTCCTTTGAACTTGAACTTGATCTCGACCGGACTTCGGGCTCAGGACGGTGCCCCAAGCCTATAAATCGGAGGGTTATGATCTCGACTGTATACAGGATAACCAATGTATAACTAACGGGTTTAATTTTTACGTTTGTAAAATCTCAAATTGGGGGCTCTTTAAGTTTGCGAGACTAGGAATTCTCCAAAAAGTTATCATATTCAAGAAGTCATGAATAATACGGTTACCTATATTATTCGCTGGTTAACCCGCTTTTTATCTCTATTAAATATGGATCGGATCAAATAATTTATCTATTTTTTCGTTACTCATTTTTGACTCGTCTTATATCCGACTCGACCCGCCCATTTGCTACACCTAAAGAGGATGTTTATACCCATTCCGAGCTAGACTGGTGTATCAGTCGAACTTGTCTACTAAAAGATGGTGAGGATGGAGGTGATCATAGATATTTAGGTTCAAAGGTTTTAGAGCCTTAGCGGGAAAAAAAGCATTTTTTAAGTGTTTGAAGTTTGTTTTATAAATAAATAATTACTTGTTTGGATAAAAGTACAAAGCTTAAAAAAAACCTTTGAAGTATTTCGTAAACAAGTGTTAGGTAAGCACTTTTTTCAATTCTGTTAAAAAGAAAGTATTACTATCTTAATTTATATAAAGTTATTATGTACTATTTTGAGAAATCAAAAAAAAGAAAAAAGAAAAAGAAAAGGGGAAGTAGTTAGATGGAGAACATGAACGTCGGCAAGACACCGAAATCGCTAATGATGAATAAAAGGTGCAAATACATGAACAATATACTCATAACTAGGAAATGGACATGTTTGCCTCAATTGTTATAGCCTTGTCGATAATCCAAATTGATTGTCTGATGGGGTTGCGACCCACACCCACTATCAACTTTCACTTTCACGTACGAGATTAATTTTTCGACCTACTCCTTCGAATCTTCCAGTTTTATCACCGGGCTAATAGGGTCTACAAGTACTGGGAAATTTGGATTCCTCTTGATATATTATGGGAATGACAAGTCGTGAATGAAAAGGTAGCAGCTTAAATACATAGTTGCACGCGCTCTCTAAGACAACTAAATAGTAAAAAAAGGTGTATGCCAAGAAAATGTGTTTTCCCTTAAAATTGGATAACAATTAAACTTATAAGTGGTTTTAAAGATACATAATTTTACTTAACACCAGTTGATAAATACGATGATTAATAGTAGAAGTAAACAACAAAGTAAGGCAAACCGGCATTGAAATG